AGAGTACCCGGCATAATGGATTCGGTTTCTAGTATATTTATTGCTTAGGACGTATGCATCTTGATGCTTAATCTATCAGGGTAAGTTATGATTATTGCTTTCAGGCTTCTGCTAAAAATTTCTTACTGGTTTACTCCCTTTTGAGCTTTTTTTTTTAAGCAGAAAAAGGAAACCTTAAGCTAAATTGGAGAGTCTCAGCTTTTCAGAGTTTGCAGCCTCTGTGGGATGTTCTGTGATGAGCTTTCTGAAAAAAGTACCGCTGAAACTAGACTATTATAACTTAGGTTAACTTCTGCTGCAAAGCTGGGTATAGGCAGAGAGTCTTTTCCAGACCTAGTTACAGCAATTAAAGCTGTTACTGCTGCCTAACTACCACCCTGAGTGCAAATGATAGAGCACTTGCTGATCTTTTGCTGCTGTATAACCCACACTAGCTTAATTATATTCATTACTAATTTGTGCAGATTACTGACTCTGCACTGAGGTGCATGGCTACATGCAGTAGCTATGAAAAGAGTAGGGCTGCCTTAATCTCCACATCTGGGAGAAGTAGTTGAGAACAAGCCTCCACTTCCCCACTGGTGCTATGGAGCTGTAGTACTTGCTCAGCTTTGCTAGGCGATCCATGCGTGTGTTAATTGCAGCTGCAATTAGCTTGCCAGGGTTCAGGTTTCAGATTGCACACTTGAACTTGGATGTCTGCGGGCACATTATTGTAGTGTGGGTCCCATTAATTGGCCTTCAGAGAGTGAAGTGGGTGGTCAGCTGAATTGCTCTGCAGACTGACTACAGTGGCAGTTTAGACACTTAATTTCACACTGAATTCTCTCCCTGTTGTCAGCATGCTGCATGATAGCTTCTCACTGTAATGGAATTATTAAACATCTTTAATAAGACACCTGAAGAAATAACTTAGACATCTATCCTGTTATACCTCAAAGGCAACTTCAGGAAATGAATAATTGCTTGTCTAAAACAGTCACTCACTCTGTGAAGAACTGGTGACAATTGATACCCACGTATGTATTTTGACCAGTGTTGTTTAACTAGAGTTTCTCAAACGCTTGTTCATTATCTTCTCTCTCTGCATTTCAGTGTCTGGATGTGTTAGAAGTATTAGGTCCAGCCTGCATAGCCTTAAAAACTGAGCAGATTTTTTGTCCAAGTAATGCATGCTAGCTCAGCACAGAAAAAGAAATCTCCTAGACTTTTAATCTGTCAAAACTGTGAACTTTAAGAACAGGCTGCTTAATCTATGTAGCTAATGACTAAGGATAGTATCTGTAACTAATCCTGCTTATTAATTTGCCTGGTTTTAACGTATAGGACAGTTGGAGGTGAAAAACTACTCTTTCATGACTTATTTAGCAGCAGCTTATGAAACTACTTAGTTGTAGGCAAATTTAGTTTCTGTGCATCCTTAATGGCAAGGTATTGAACGTAAGCATCTGTGAGTTACTGATCTAAATTGAGACTGAGTTCTGAAAAGCAGTACTTGAGTAGTTCTGGTTTTAGGATTTGTGTTCATGGTGACTTCTGTAAGTTTCTGGGGTTTTTTCACATTTTGATTTAGATGCCTCATAATGTAGGTTAACTTTCTGTTCATATTTAGGATGCAGTTATTGAAGCTTAAAATGGTATGGTTCTAGCTTGTCATGTGGCTTTTCTGGTTCTTAATCCAGTCATTCTCTAATTTTGAGTTTTAAGTTTAAGAGTACTTTCTTCTAAGCAATGCCTCTGCTAACTAGCTTGTTTTCAGAAAAGTAGGTGCCAGCTGTATAATAATATTGTCTCTACTTGCCATCTGCCTTCCTAGTAAAGAACATGACTATCAATTAAGGCTGTTCAAGTTGTCCTATAAAATCTATGTGAGAAGAGAAGGGTAGTGCTGTCAGCTCTACAAATTACTTCATGATCCCCTCGCAGAACTCCTGACCTAGAAGGGATGTTGCCAGATTCCTGTCCCTTGAGTGTCCAAGTCTTGTGGCCTTTTTTTTTTGAGTCTGCTCCCAAATCCTTCTATGTTGTGTGAGCTATATTTGAAGAGTGCTGTAACTCTAGCAGCTCTGAGGGAGCTTCCACATGTAAAGTATCTATAGTGTTGATATGTTTAGGTAGAGAAATGGATGCAGAGTGGAAAGCACGGTACTGTGTTGTGAATAGGCTGTTCTGACCGTAATACTACAGCGTACATTTTCATTTTCCTTCAGATAGGAACCAGAAGGAAATACTAGCATTAATTGGGCTCTCTGAAGGTCTTTTCCTGTTTGAAAAGCCATTGCAGTGTTGAAGATCCTGCTGCTGAACTGGCCAGCTGAGGAGTACTCAGCTACTGAATCAGCTGATGAGTAAAGCTGTCCACTTCCTCCAGAGTCCCCACTTCTAAGTATTCACTGCTTCCCTGCAAAGCTCTTTCATACTAACATGCTAGCTTCTGAGCACAGAAGTGGCTTTTGCTTTATAATTTTTTTCTTAACTTTGAGCTAAGATCTGGACTGTGGCACACGGCACTCACATCTAAATACTTCATCCTTCCTTAGAAATGCACATGCTTGGGAAAATAGCTTCTTTACCTCTGGTAAAAGGATTATTATTGTGATGATTCAGTGGGGAGGGAGGGTGTGAACTTTTTGAAGTCTCCAGCTTCAGTTTCAAAACCTGGGCGGAGCAAAATCTGATCGGACCTTAGCTTCATGTTCTGTTATTCCCAAAGTTAAGTTCCTCTACAGCTAAACTTAAACTTGTAAAAGGCTCTTGACTGCTTTGGTATTTTCAAACAAGTGAGAAAACTGAGAAATAACATCTGAAGTTCAGAGCAAATGGGCAGTATTAAACTTTTTATCTTCTAAAGGTAGGTGTTATGCAGTGTAACCACTCTTGCACTTAACTTGTCGAATTAGTGGATACTGGAAGGGGTAACAAGAAATAGCATGCAATAATCATGACTGATTGCAGCATTATAACACAGTAGAGTTATGGCTGCTGGAATGCTTTCGGGTGAGCTAGGTAGGTGCATGAAGAACAGTTTACCTTCTTGGGTCCCATTGGACTACTATACTGGTTTTCACACGTTGCCCTAATCAACTTGCTAGAATTAGCAGGGAAAGCTGGACTTAGACTGTTTATTCTAAGCTTATTGCCCATCTGTCAATTTTACCCTGGAGTAGCTCAGGCACGGCAGAAGTGTATGGAAGGGAGAGAGTGTCATCTGGCCACTGATTGTCTTCAACCTCGAGAGATCAGTAGGATGCTCCCACTGGTGAGCAAAACAGCAAGCTACTAAAGATTTAGCTTCTTTTGGGGAAGGCTTCCTTTTGCATCAAACTGTAGTATTTGGTCTCAGCCTTTCAGGGGATAAAGTTTAGTAGTTTTTTTCAAACAGCTGTTTGTATCCCCTGTTCCAGAGACTGGGCAGAGACAATGCGGTCATCTGAGTTGGGATTAGACTAGTGGAATGACGGTGACTGGGGTTTTGAGCTCTGGGTAGTAAGAGTGTGGCACTTAGTGAAGTCCTTCTAGCCCTGCCCTGGGATGGCTCATGCTGTCCACTTAGTAACAGGAAAAAAAAAATTGCCCTGTTCTTCCTTGCTCATTAACCAGAAAGATGTCACCTGCAACAGTTTGAAATTTCATAGTAAAAGTTGTTTTTAAAATTATCTGTCTAGCTCCAAACTGAGAAAGGAGCAATTCATCTGAGAGGGTGTTTTTTTAACAACTTGTTTTCTGGATGGTCTGTAATATCAGTTTGTTCTTCTTCAGTGGAACCTCATTAAGTTTTGGGGTTTTTTTTGTGTGTTAGTAGTCCTTTTACTCTACTTGACTGCAACTCCACATAGTTGAGTTAGGACTGTGGTATGTATGGGTCACGGTACAGCATGTTCTGTGCTACTAAAGTCAAGTTTGCCAAGACAAAACTAGAACAAGTCAGTTTAAACAACAGTGTTAAAGTTTGCTGTTATTCAAAACAATGTAACTGTTCCTATCACTTCCTTACCAAGTCTTTGAAAACTACCTGACATAAAAATAGCAGTCCAACTGGGCCTGCAGTGGCTGCCTAAGCTTTTGTTCAGTTGATCCTGTTCAGGTGGTGCAAGACCAGTCTGTCCTCTTGGGCTTTTAATTGTTGAAAAAAAAAAAAATGCATTCAATGAAAAAGCAGATGCCTTAGGGTTTAGAATTAAAACAAATCTTCTGGTGAATTTGACAAAACCTAATTTAACTTGTTCTTGCAGGTACAAATGGATTTCCTGATCCTGATTTAGTCTTGAAGTTTGGTCCTGTGGACAGCACGTTAGGATTCCTTCCGTGGCACATCAGACTGACAGAGATCATGTGAGTTGCCTATAAATACTGTACAACAGGTTGGAATAATATCTGTCTGTGACTGACTTTATGGGAATAGCCATAAGAGGAGATCTGTCTAAACAAAGGTGTCTGGAGATTGATTTGAGGGTATTTAAAAGTTATTAAATGAAACCTGTCAAACATTCATTGTTGCTCCTTCAGCCACAACTAGACAACAGCAGGCTTTACTCTTCAGGTTTAAGGAACAATTTCCGTCATCTAGTCTCAGTGGTCCAATCCCAGTTCTGTCGGTGTTCCTTATGTGGATTTTGAGTGGCTTACAGGTTTCTGTCAGGGCAAGTAAGGATATAAGGGAGATAGGATAATGTATGATGATCACGCCTCTGAATTACTTTCCAATTTTGGCAATAACTGAACTGACTATAGTTGCTGTATTTCTTAAATCTGAGAGCATTTGTAGGACACTTCAATGTCTGGGCAGACCTGTGCTTCTCCAGCTTCCTCACTAATTTGAAGTGCCCTATGTACTCTAACAGGTAGGCTTTGATTTAGAGGGTGACAAGATATTAACAGCTAGTTTAGTTACTAGAGTAGAGTGACATAACAGTGTTGAGAACAACTTCACAAGGTTACTTACACAATAGCTTGCTTTAAGTAGTGATATTCCTGGCGTGCCATATGAATTGTGCGGTGTTTGTAAGAGCTTATTTTAACTTTTCTAACTTGCTTTCTCAGTTCTTTGCCTTCCCACCTGAACATCAGCTATGAAGACTTTTTCTCTGCCCTCCATCACTATGCAGCCTGTGAGCAACGCTGGGGAAAGTGACTTCTGGCTGAGCACATGGAGTCAGGCTTTCTGTGGGAAGGAATTGATGTCTGTTTACAAGCACCTGTGACCCATAAGTCTGGTTCATAGTCCTTTCTTAATTTATCAACAAATTCAATAAAGTGTCTTACCTTTCTAGAGAGTCTGTGTGAGTGCGTGAGAATCAATGGGGAAGGGAAATTCACAGACTTCCCTTATGAAAAAGACAGTTATTGCAAGCAAAGCCGTTCAAAGCTGAATTACCCTCACTGTAATGTCTAAGTGACCAAAAGAATATGCAAGAATTAAGTCTTGCGATATCTACAGGACAACGTAAATAGGAGTTCGTGCCCTCCAAGTCCTTAAATCCAAGGAAGAACTCTGATGTCAGTTTGTTTCTTTTTAATTCTTCATGATGGGGCATTTCAGAGCTAATCACCTGGTTTATCTTCAGATATATTTACTATATAATATGTGAATTGCAGAGGAGTCAGTATTGGTTCTGTTAACTGTGAGAATAGACACTCCTACTTGGCTGTGATGACTTAAGCCAGCGGTAGGTATCAAGTTCTAGAAATGCTGAGAAGATTCCATAAAAAGGAATGGAAGTTCCTAGGGTAAGTGGATTAGGTAGTCTGTGTAGCACTATCCATCCTCTTTTTTTTTTAAGAGGTAAAATCAAAATATTCCTACAGCCCTGAGTGAAAACTTCTCTTATCAGGTCCGTTTTCCATAGGGAATAAGCATAAACAGTACTATGTATTGTTTGTATACCTATTTTCCCCATAAAATTCTCACCTAAGGTGACAAGCTGGCCAAGGCTCTGGCGTCACTTCCTGAAAAATCTGAAAATGGACTAGGTTCACTTCCATGGCTAATGTGACTCGCTTGTTGTGCTCGTATACCCAGCGGGGGAGTCTGCTTAAGCCTTTTGCTGGGTTTGTTCTGAACTGCACATTAGAAGTTTGAATGGGAGTCTGCAGCAGACAAGAAAGAAGATGAAGGGAAGCTACAGTATCTCAAAACTGAGATAACTAAATGGATGGATGAGCTAAATGGTCTTCATCATGGAATGTTCTATTTGAGTTACATTCCTATTGTTGGAAGTAATTTGGAATTGGAAGTTTTTATAGCAGCATTTGGACAAAGCAATATCTTTAGAGCTGTATTACTGGAGGAAAACATTAATATTGCAGCCTTCTGCCCTGCAGGCTGTAGAACTGTTGGACACTTCATTCTGGAAGTGTTTCTTTTTTTTTTTCACCTCCCTCTTCAAAATGAGTCTGGCTTTATCTCCTTCAGGATAGGCATGTCACTGGAAGGGAAAATTTCTGCTTTTAAAAGGGTATTGCCAGATTTTAAATGAATGTCTGCTTCCTTGTGAAACAGTGCATCTTAACTGTTGCAGCTTGATGTACTGTTGTAAAGCAGATTGCATAAACTCTTAGCTGCAGTTTTTCGTCATACTAAGATCAGATTGCAGTTACATGGGAGCACTGTGGTCTACTTTCTCTCATAAAAGAGAAAGGGATGTTTAATCAGTTAACTAACGTCTTTGACATCACAGACCATCCCACGTGAGCTGGAATGCCCAGAGTGCGGGCGGCTGCCCCTTGCAGGCTGCTCTCTGACGTTTGCCAGTTGCCGTATTGCAGAGAGGATGAACAGTCGTGCGGTGTTTTCTGGGTTCTGGCATTGCCACGGGGAAGTTTTCTCACTGAATGTGAAGTTTAACTTTTTTGTGGGGAGCGGATAGCCTGTTGGAGGGTGTCTTGAGTACTGGAGTTTATCTGTAGGATGAATTTTGTTTCATTAAAATGTAAGGTGTTTAAGTTACTATATGTAAGTGTAACTGTGTCACTGAAGCAGTTCTGGTGCTGGCAGTAAAGATATAAAATGGGAAAAGCTTAGTTTAGTCCTCAAAAGTAATCTATTTTTTATATTTGTATCAAACTGCCAAAGAACACTTCTAATACCTGAGCTCCCCTCAGTCCTCAAACTTCTGCATATCTCAACTAAAAAGACTTGGTTTATACTGGAGACAGATCTCGAGGTCTAGGATTTGTCTATAGAGGGATGCTGAATGAAACTAAAATGATTAGTTCAGCTGCATTTGATTCAACGTCATCAGATCTCTTCTGAGGGCTAGTTTAATTGTGAAATAAGCGTTCCTCCCGGAATTAATGTAGTTGAACTAATCCACATTGTCACTTAGTTGGGATTATTTTACTGTCCCTGTGTGGGCAATCGTCAGTGAGCTGTGCCAAACGCACGGTGCGTATTCACAGCTTGATCTCTGAATGTCTGTCAGTGCAGCTAGCGCCTCTCCCCGGCTTGTTCTGTGTGAAGGTCTGTGGTATAGCCGTGACGTGCTGTATGCCTGTAGTCGCTGGGTACCTGTACATAATGTGTAAAACAAGTTTTTATGGTTAGGGAATCAATTTATTGAACTTTATTATTGGAAGTTAAATCTGAATCTGTAAAACAAGAAATCAATAAAAGACTATAATCTTTCTACAGGCTATGGTGATACGTGAATACTTCTGCAGGTTTGACTGGGGAGATGTAGCCTTATTCGTATTGCTGCATGGCTCTGGGAAAGCGGAGAATTCCAAACGGCACGCGCTCTTACGCTCCGCCTAAATTGCTCCCTGTATCCTAAGAACTGGACCAAGTTTTGTATCTGCGCTTTTACTTCTTGGGAGCTCTTACGAAAGCTTTTATGGTAAAGCATTCACCATAAATAGTGGTAATAGTCCTGGGAACTTGCTAAACTTGTTCCTGGCTCCCGAAAAGCTTCCTCTCCCTGCTGCTGAGCCAGTCCGGACCCACGAGCTGGGCCAGGCCTCCTGCCAGCTCCCTGCTTTGGAGCAGGGGGAAGCGAGGGTGTGGCGTGGAAGAAACCTCCGCGGCCTGAGCGACGCCTGGGTGCTGAGCGTGGCCTCTTTCGAAAGGGGAAGCTTGTGTTCAGGCAAGTTTTGAAAGAGCGCTGGGGGTGGCGGTGGGCTGAGCGTGAGCCAGCCTGCGCCGGCGGTCTCCCAGGCTGCGTTAGGACGAGTGTTGCTGGCGGGTCAAGGGAGCTGATCGTTGCTACACGGATCTGGAGCGCTGGGTCCGGTTCTGGGCCTCTTTGGTGCGAGAGAGACACGGACTTAATGGAGCTAGTCCAGCAAAAGGCTGTGATGATGACCAAGGAGCGGAGCATCTGTTGTGTGAGGAGAGGCTGAGAGAGCTGGGACTGCTCGGCCTGGAGGAGAGAAGGCTCAGGAGGGATCTTACCAACATGTATAAATATATGATGGAGGGGGAGCAAAACCAGCCAGACCCTTCTCAGTAGTGCTTAGTGGCAGGCTGAGAGGCCATGGGCACAAACTGAAATACAGGAGAATCCATTTAAACATGAGAAAAACCTTTTCCAGTAAGGGTGGTCAAACAGCAGAGAAGGTTGCCCAGAAAGGTTGTGGAGTCTCTTTCAAAACCGGACTGGACATGTGGTGGGATGGGGTGGGTGTTGGACTAGATCATCTCTGGAGGAGCCTTCCAATCTCAGCTGTGCTGTGAAATGGAAACCGCAAGAGGCAGACAAGTTATTTTACAGAGAAGGGGGTTTACGGCAAGCAGTCTGCCGCAGCCAGAGCTCAGCGTGTGGCGCTTCCACGCTCACTTGAACGGCATATGCGTTGATCTAGAGGAAAGCGATGGGTGGCGGAGCAGCGTTGCGCCTGCTTGGCACGCTCCCCTCACCGCAGGGAAAGAGCGCGCTGGGCACAGGCAGGGGCGAGTTTTCGGTGAGCTTGCGAATTAACACTTGGGTCTCAAAATCGCAACTGTTGACAGAAAAACTGGGTTCTTTGCTCAGTTATTTTGTGACAGAGGTGGTTCTGTGCTGTCTTATCGCAGCCTTCAGGTTTTTCTTCCTTCCTTTCTCGCCCAGTGCTGCTTGAACTCTTTCCTTAGATATGCGAGCTCCTGGTAAGAAAGATGTCATGTTATTGAAAGTAACTCTTTGGTATACCCTAGATGATATCAAACATTTGTTACCGTGCAATTCGATGGCCAGTGAACACAGAGGAACTTTGGCTTTTCACCAAATTGGCTTACACCTAGCTTCACGCTTGCTAGCATCAAATTGGCTCTTGAAAAGCTGTTTGGGTGTCTCTGGTGCATTTTGAGTTATCACTCGCACAGATACAAGCTGCCTGTGAAGGCTAATAGTAGTTTCCAAACTGGAGCTGGCTCTACAGCAGTGTTGGTATGGTGCTGCTGGGCTCTCCTACCTCAGCCGGTTTTTAATAGTCAGCGACGGTGGCTCGCTGCAGTTAATTTGTAATTTCAATACTAAAGAATATTCGAGCTGCCCATATGGTGGAAAATTCATCTTCACTTGCCCCAACATGAGAGCCCCCACTCACGGTAACTACTACTCTTTTAACAAATGATCCAAGTTTCTACATCTTTCCTCTTCTTTTTCCCCTTCCAGTGGTGCACGGTAGCTGATGCCTAGCAAAGGAACTAGATGAGATTCTGAAATAGTTGCTTTGCAGCAGGGAATTTGGGGACGTGGTCAATAACACAGCTGTTACAGGGAACAGGCCTACAAAGCAGTTCTTGAGATTGTAGTGATTTTTAGGGCTTCTTGTTATGAACATGCATTGAGCAACTGTACAGCATAGCGTGCTGCACTGAGTGAAGACTGGTAAGCAAGTAAAATGTAAAGGAAAAGTTATTCTTTTTAGAGGAAAGTGTATTCTTACACGCTTATATCTGTAAGTGCTTTCTAAAGTACTTCACAAAAATGGCAAGAAGAAATACCCTGCTGGTTGGATTTCCTGCCTGTTTTGTGAATTCAGCTTGTGTGTGAAATCCTAGCCGCCCTGAATAGCCCCAAGTGTTGTACAAAATAAGAACGCTTTTAAGCGCAGATTAAACGTTGGTTGTCTTCCCAGTTGAATTAATCTAGCGCTATTAACCATGTTTATTCATTGGCGCTGAAAGGTAGGTATACCTATAAAAACCGAAGGGCACGTGCAGACAGTTTTAGCCGCTGTCTGCTGATCCCGATGTACGGCTGCCTTGCAGGTAGGCCTTGCCCCGTGCTGCCAGCCAGGACTGTGCTGCTCAGCCCGCACCCTTGGCAGGAGGAGCGCTGGGGAGACGGGGACG